GGGCTCTCCCCCCACCCGCACCTCCTGCTGCCCCAGTCCTGGGCTCTTCCCGCATCCCCAGCCGCCCCAGCTCTGGCCCCCATCCGCACCTCCTGCCACCCCAGCCCTGGGCTCTCCCCCAAAGAAAGAATTGGGTGGACTAAATGGACGGTGCACCTCTCTATCTGAAGCCTAGCAAGGGAGGTATGTGGATCCCACTAGAATTTAAAATGAAAAGTAAGGGAGGGGAGGCTCTGCACCTGGGCAGCTTTTGATACAGTACCAGGCATGTAGGAGGATTTCCACTTCTGAGCCATGGAAGCAGAAATTGACTTTTCCTTTCCAGATATAGCTAATATTCAGAAAGGGAATCCAGCACCTGCCTTCCAGATTTGAACACCCTCAAAATTCAGGAGTGCTCAAGCTCAGTTTGGGCAGCTGTTACTTCATTTCTCCCAAATCAAATATACTGATCCACTGTAACTTGCTGTAGAAAAAGTAGAATAAATTGAGCAAGAAATGCTTCCCAGTGGTTATTAGGACTGGAATTGCTATTTTCAACAGCCATTGCTTTTTTTTAAGTTTTAGTTTTATTTGTTTAAAAGGAAGACCGTGATAGTGCATTCCCCATAGAAACAAAGAATGGAACAAAAGAATAATAAAGGCACCTCAACTTTTTCTCATTTATGTAGGACAGTCTTATAATATGCATCCAGATATCCTCCAGTCACACAAGCTGAAAATTGTTCCACTTTACTGCAGTTCTGTAACCACATGGGAACCAATCCTGTCTGTGTTCTGTGCACATCTAAAATTCCTGCTGAATGACCCGCCCTGGGAGCGAGTTACCAGTGACCCAGGGCTGGGGCGTCAGGAGGGTGCAGTTGGGTGGGGAGAGAGGGAGAGCCCAGGGCTGGGATGGGGGGCAGCCAAAAAATTTTTTGCTTGGGGCTGCAAAAAACCTAGAGCCGGCCCTGGGCCTTCCTTACCCACCTCTTAAAATTGGAAACCTTTATTTTTTTAATTTCCAAACTGCAAAGTCTAGGCCCAATCCTTTAAACCAACCAGGTGAGGAACCGTAGCAAAGCGAGTCTACTGAACACGTCCCTCTGGTAAGGGTCTCAAGTGGCTGTGACGCTTTGGGGTTCACCCAGACCAGGAAGGGGTGGTGTCACCGCCTGCTGTGTAGCCCGGGGTGCTTCTGTGCTGTGCAACTTTGGTTCAGAGCTCTGATGCCAGCAGCTTGCTCACAGCACAATGCCCTGCCCCTGGCTTCCACCAGCCTGTGTACGCCTGTCAGGGTGACCCCAGCAGCCCCTCTAGCGCCTCACCCCGCAGCAGTCACAAACATTGTCAAGTTTGCTGCTCCTTTAAAGAGCCAGCACCAGCCTCTGAGAGTGGCTGGGGATTGTACTCTCCAGTTTGACACGCTGCACTGAGCTGGTTGTGTAATAAAACAAGATGAGGTTTATTAACACAGACCAGCAATTTAAGAGACACCAGGTGGGAGGAACTGGGATACAAATGGCTACAAACAAACAAAATTAAAATACTCTTCTAAGAAAGACTAAAACCTAATGTCACCAACCAGTCTTTTGCACCGAGTAGATTCCTCCCCACAGGTAGGGTGACAGGATGTCCCGTTTTTAAAAGGACAGTCCCATTTTGGGGGACTTTTTCTTATATAGGCGCCATAGATACGCCACGCAATGTTGCCAGTTTGCATACAACACCCTCCATGACACCTTTTAGCCCCAGACCATGACAACAGCGTGTTGGAGTACACCGAGCTAGTCAGGCCCACTGACACACACTGCTACAGGCCAGGGAGCCCCTGGCCTTCCGGCACTGGGGTGCTCCTAGGGTCACAGACAACTCCAGGAAGACAGGCCATTGTGACTGATTTCACTGGGCTGGGCAATAGTCACTGAGTGGCTTTATGTGCAGGTTTTCTAGAGCATCCATAATGTAAAGGAACACGCTGTTGCAGCTGATAACCCCGTCACTGCCGAGCGCCGTTC